GTAGCAGTCGAACATGATTTTCTTATGCTAGGTCTACAATGCGAGTCGTAAAGTCGTGAGTCGTAAGAATTGACCAATCACAGTCGATTATTCTTCTCAAATTCGATTATGATTGGTCAATTCTTACGACTCACGACTCGCATTGTAGACCTAGCATTAGAACCAACCACGCAACGCAGAGTGTTGATAAACGAACTCAACAGTTGTGTCTGTTGAACGCGGCCAATGTAATGCGGGGTCTACAATGCGAGTCGTAGATCGTGGGAGGTTGACCAATCACAGTTGATTATTCTCCTCAAATTCGATTGCGATTCGTCTTGCGACTCACGACTTGTGAAGGTGAAATTTCATGGGCAGTGAAAAGCAGCAGCAGATCGTACTGATTGGCTACAAAATAGAGAAGTTCTCGAGTTTCTAGAATACTTCTATTTTATAGCCAATCAGTACGATCTGCTGCTGCTTTTCACTGCCTATGAAATTTTACCTCTTGACTCGCATATTGTAGACCTCGCAAGAATTATCACAAGATTTGAACAGAATTTATGTGAAATAGTTTATTTATACATTTATAATTTCTTTTACACATAATCTTGAATTTATTATACTTTCACACTTCTCCATAAAAGAACACATCAGTCTAGTAGTATATACGGGGTGTCTGGTAATTATGTGCCACCTCTAGCACAAGTAGGACTGTAGAACGGAGTATTAAACCGAATAGAAAAGTTATTTTTCCGGTTTTGCGAGTTTCTCAATAATTAATAATGAGAAATTAATTAATAAAGCTCCGCGAATAAACATGTAATTCAGCGACAAGATGAGATAGCCCCACGAAAGGTGGCACGATAATTACCAGGACACCCTGTAGAAGTCTGCGAACGTCCGGGGGACGCCCCTTTGCCAGTCCTAAACATTGTACGCAAACTGCCAGTCATTCTTGTGAATTGACATTGACGGATCTTCCGGCAGTTCCGTGCGCCGTGCGGTGGACAGGCGGATCGGTGTGCGCGAATTTAATGTAATTAAAAAACGACAATTTATAGTCAAAATAATGGGAGCGGTACGAATAATTAACGACGATCGTCACTTCAACGGCGAGCTGACCAACGCCGGCCAGAAGCTCGTCGTCGTAGACTTCACAGCGAGTTGGTGAGCATCTCTAAAGCATCTTTTAGGTTATGCTCCTGATTACTGCCCGTTAACTCGTTGACTCCAGCACTCCAGGTTTTGTTTTTTCTTTAAGCAATTAACGGTCACATTTGGTTTTGATTACGCAGGTGCGGACCCTGTCAGAGAATCGCCCCGATATTCGAGCAATTGTCGCTCAAGTATCCGAAAGCGGTGTTCCTGAAGGTGGACGTGGACAAATGCGCGGACACCGCCTCGATGCAGGACGTCAGCGCGATGCCGACCTTCATCTTCTACCGCAGGCGCGCGCGGCTGGGCCACTGCCAGGGCGCCGATCCGGCAGGGCTGGAATCCAAGATCCAGCAGTTCTACGGAAGCGGCGGCGACGCCGACGACGCGGACGACTCGGTCGCGGACTCCCTGCCCGGCCATGTACGAAACGCCGACTATAGCGCCTACTTCCAGCTCTTCGGAATGTTCTTTCTCGCCGCGGTTCTGTTTTACTGGAATAAGTACCAATAAAAAGTTTGCCCGGGCTAGTTGCCCGTTTAACGCTAATCGATCGCGCGTAAACGGGACGGAGAAATTAATTTCGCTATTTCGACTTAACGCAAATCTGACGTCACCTGCGCAGTTCTTCCTTCACGATTATGTTGTATATCCAAAAGATATTGTGTACTGGAAATAATACAACTTTGATACTTGCATGCTTGTTGGTGATTTAATAACCTTTATCTCTACAAGATACAATTATCCAAGTGTCTATCCTGCTCGTCTAATTTGATTTTCTTGTAAATATGCATAATCCACGTGTTTATGCAATTGTATGATTATGTCACCTGCGAAATCTTTGGTTTTTTTTCTTCCAATTTTATAGACTTTTAAATATTTTTTCACGAATCTCGCATTTTAATTCAGTGTAAATTTTTTAATGAAAAGTACAAATTAGTATTTAAACGCGTGTCGCATAATTACGACAATTAATATTAATATCTGTCTTATCAATTTTCCATTCTTTCATCATTTATCAAAGTACTAGAATGGAAGATTGATAAGATAGATGTTAATATTAATTATCGTAATTATGCGACACGCGTTTAAATACTAATTCACTCAGATTTGTACTTTTCATTAAAAAATTTACACTGAATTAAGATGCGAGATTCGTGAAAAAATATTTAAAAGTCTATAATTGGAAGAAAAAAAACTGAAGATTTCGCAGGTGACAATCATACAATTGCATAAACACGTGGATTATGCATATTTACAACAAAATCAAATTAGACAAGCAGGATAGACACTTGGATAATTGTATCTTGTAGAGGTCGTTTTCGCGAATCTTAGTGTCGCGGAGTTTGAGCTGAAGTAAAATTATTCCAAGTCGCGCTTTACTTCATTCGAAGTTTGCTTCATCTCTTCTTCCACTTCGTTAATGATTAACTCAAGAACTTTCGGGGATTTCTTTTTCAGATGGACTTGTCCAGTTTCATAATGAAGCAGCAGTGCGAGTGTTTAAACGAATCGGACCATCACACTTTCCTTCAGTGTTTGAACTCGGACAGTGGGTATCTCCAGAGCGATGAGGATGAGCAGCTGATAATGTCCATCGCATTCTCGCAGCCTGTTAAAGTTCACTCGCTCAAAATCAAAGCGCCTACGGAAAATGGTCCGAAAAATATCAAACTATTCATCAACCAGCCCAGGACGATCGATTTTGAAATGGCGAGCTCCAACAGGAGTGTCCAAGATCTAACGTAAGCCTGAAATAATGCATCTGCAAGATATATTCAAGACGGTATAGAATATAAAGAGAGAAGAAAAAAAAATATCCTTGCAAAATTTTCGAAAACATTGAATAATGAACAATTGATCGATTTAAAATATTTCTCTAAAATCTCTCTTTCACATGGACGGTTAAAATAAACTTCCAACATTTAGTATCTTATTTTTAACGTAAATTTAGAACAGAATGTCTCTTACTTTTTCCTCATTGCTTTTTCTAACGAGATAAAAAATTAATACGCGCAATTTCGGTTGCAGATTTTCAGCCAAGGACCTCGAGGAGGGAAATCCGGTACCACTGCGCTACGTCAAGTTCCAGAATGTGCAGAATCTTCAAATTTTTGTGATAGACAATCAGAACGGCACGGAAACAACAAGAATCGATCACCTAGTCTTAATCGGCTCACCGATCTCAACCACCAACATGGGAGAATTCAAGAGAGTGTCCGGCAAGAAGGGAGAAAGCCATTGAGAGACTTTCCTGCAACAATAATATATCAGGATATCATCAGGAATTTTGATTTGCCTACTAACATTCCCCTATTTTTTTTTCTGGCAAAGAAGAAAAGAGGAAAAAAAAGGAAAACCGATGTAACGAGACTTAAAGCTTAATAAAAACCGATTTGAATACCGTAACAATTTCGCTTGTAATAATTTATTATCACACACGCAATTCACGAAATTAATAATTTATCTTAAAATCGATTATTATAATTTATGAGAACATTTTTACAGCTAATGTACAAAGGAGTTTTCGGCGAGGTACAATCGATTTTTAAACGTCTGCAATTATACTTACATTCTTGATATTACTTAACAAAGTGATTCGCGCAACAATATTGTTGAACTAATTAATTTTACACCGCTCCCATATTTTCCTCCATTTTGATTCGCATTGGAAAAAACAAATTACAGAATTTTTCTCGTTGATTACATATAACAGAATAATCACTGCTAGGGAGACTTCGAGTCACTTTGTAAAAAAATACAATAAATGAAAATTTCTCGATTATAAATTTCTGATTTAACTTGGCGAGTAGATTATTTGAACACATATAATCTCTGTCTCTTTGTTACCTCTTTTTTAAAATATGTATATCTTCCAAATCATTCATCCTTTTTTATGTGGACCTCCAGAATTGCAATATCATGGTTCATAATATGGTAGATCTTTAAAACTTAATAAACTTTATCGTTACAAACATTCTTAAGTGCTTTCTATTAGGAGGCTTTGTGAATTCGCCAGATACCGCCGCATCGGCAAGCTCGCATCCACCGTTGATCCCAGGCTCTGATCGCAGCAGTCCTCGTCATGTTCTGTACTTGCGCCTTGCCGCCGCATCTAAAGATATTACAAAAATATATAGAGCTATCAATATGTTATAATGTTGAACTGTGAATATATATATTTTTTATTTTATTATATTTTTTCTTGCTGGTTAGTAGCCAGCATAATTTGCGAATCGATAATACCTCGTGCATTGCTTCACTAGAAGTGGCTGTTTTCCTAAATACAGGTGTCGTATCGTATCCACGATCTGTCCGCTGTGCATACAGCCTTCGACGGGATTCATTTCAGGCGTGAAAACCAATTGTTCCGGTTCCGCTCCATATTCCAGCTGCAATCACAAATTGTAACAAAATGGTAATAATTAGTAAATATATATATAATATATAAATTAAAGAAAAAATTTGAATATCTTTTTAAAGTATAATAATCTTCTAACAAAGTAATTTTTTCTTTTTTCTCATAAATATGTTTGCAAGCTTTGCAATTCTTACCTGTAACGGGAGGTTCTGATAGAACAAAATCGGAGAGACTATGGCGGTTATGCTGTTGCCTTGATGCAATTGTGGAATCATGATTTGATTTGGCAGTAAGCAGCATTCATCTGAAAAGAGGCCTTACTTCAAAATTTTCAGCATCGAGAAATTAAATTACGCGTCGATTCCAAATTGATTGTAAAATATGTATTTTATACGTGTCATAATGTACGTGAATACATGTATGTGATAATAATCGTAACTTTTGTAGAAGAGACCGAGATAAAAAGTAGATTTAACATATCCAACACTTTTATCGTTTCCAGTATCCTTTATTTGTACAGCAATTTTTCCTTGAACAAAAACCTCAATCCTTTCTTTCGCTTATAATTAGATCATATTTCTTGTTAAATCATTTCTCGAGCTTTCTAATTGATTGTCTATAGTAATTGTCTTTGGTATCTTTAATTAGCTCGGCGAAGTGAAAGTTTCTTGCGAATTCGTTTCATTGGTTTGCAATATCAGCATCGGTTTCTCCACGATCGATTCCGTCTCTTCACCCTCATTCGAATCGATCTGAAGGAAGACCTCTGTTTTCTCACTGGTTGGACTCTCCACGTCGGCTATGAAGTAACTTGTTTCGCGCTTCGATCTCAATTCATTTGCTTCCGAATCCTTATCCTTCGCGTCTTCCTTCACGTCTTTCATGCTCTTTCTGTCCTTCACATCCTCCTTATCCTTTTCGTCCTTTATACTTTTCACGGTTTCCGCATTATCGCTCTCAGTCGCTTCGCTCGGGAAGAAGTGTGTTCTCGTTTTCAGCGATCTCGCGCTCTCGACCCTCTCCGCTTCGCGGATCAGATCGATGAAGAATAACTGTCTCGGCGACATCGGGGTCTTCGGGGATTTCACCTCGTCCTCCGAGGGCGATACCGTCACCAGCTTCAGATAATCCTGCAGGGGACTCTTCTCAGCATAATTACTGGCGATGCTTAAGCGAGTTTTCTCATCTTCCTCGAAGCGCACCACTCCAACGGTGTCCTCGATGTTTTCGCCAGATATTTGTTTGTGTATCACCAAAGGTGGCAGATCCTTCCTGAGGTTTTCCCGATCGCTCTTCTTAGATTCCGAATCGTTCCTCTTCTTCGTCTCGAGAAATTCTGCATCTGTGGATATCTGATTGACGTTCAGGGGGCTTCTCGCGTTATCCGAACCATATTTCGAGACCACGTTGATTTCCAGACTTTGCTCAACTTGGAGACGTTTCCAAAAGATTATCAGTCCGCACATGATCACGAGCCAGATTAGAAATGCGACTACCCAGAAGAGAAAAGACCAATACGAAGTCCAGTATGCAAACGTGTAACATATAGCCCAAATTAGAGGACAGAGAACGAACCAGTAGGTCAAGAACACGCACAAGGTCGACCAAGGGAATAGGTGCTCGTATCTCTTTAGCCTGGACTGCTTGTTGATCACGCAGTTCTTTCCATGCAGTCTGTTTTCCTTCAGAGCAAGGGAGTCTTTATGTTTGACTGCAAGTTTGGTAGTCATTGCACTTTCGTGGATTCGACGGATCGCCAAATTTTACTTTCTTCTTTCGTGCGTACGTTGTACTTTTCTTCGGTCGTATTATTCTATTATCGTTGTAGTGTGTTGAGAGAGAAATGTAATAAATGGATTCTCGCGCACAAGGTGTACTATTTGCAATTCTTCAGATCTATACACTTGTAGCTGTGTTATTGCGCAATTGTGTTGCTGCAGATTACAATGCAAACCATTTAATACTGCTAATAGAGTATGTCACAATTCTTCTAATGATTCAGGATGTGGTACTTTATCAGACTTCCTGGCCACAAATCGTGGTAATCAAGTAGCGAATAAACGCGATAAGAATTAAAATTGCATTAAATCTGTTTCTGGATTTCAAGATCCTTCTAAATTAATATAATATAATTTCTTTTAAATATAAGAATTTTAAAAATAAAAGCAAAAAAATGTTGCAACGAAAAAAGATAATTTTTTTGCCAACTTAAATGTTATATTAACGTCATAAAAAATTACCGCAAAGTGTACCAAATATCAATCTTATCCTTTTTTCACACATAGAACAAATTTTCATAGGATTAAGCCGCTAGAACTTCATATTGCAATAGGCGAACGTCATGTAAAACTCTGTTGCGAAATTGTAAGAAAACAATAAACCTACCAATTAAACCGTCGTCCACCTGTTGTTGCGTATCACCGTTGGGCTGCACTAGTTTTGACAGCAAACAGAACAGTAGGGCCAGGACATCCAGGTTGTCCGCGCTACGAAGAAATACTGGGAGACACGATGGACGAAGTAATCCCCAGATGCGTATGATGACCAATAATTCTCGAACGGTATTCAAGGCCTTGTGATCCTTAAGAAGTTCATACTGTAAAACGAAGAAAAGCAGCAAGTTAAAGTTAATATGACACGATGGTTGATATGAATTCTTAAAATTAAAAATACGCTTTCGAAATAAGATAATTTTAATTAATTTTAATTAATTTTAATGGGAAAGTATAGTTATATTTATGTCGTACAAAAGTGAAGATATACCAATATAAGTTTAATAATACATACGGGGATATTCAGTGCCACGAAAGATTTTTAAATATATTACTTGTTTACAAAAATGTACCGGAAGGAATAAATATTAAAATATAGGTTTAAAACTTATCTCGTGATTTTCAGAAAGAGCAGCTAAATTTGTTAAAAGTACTCACCCCACCAGTCTTCATCTGCATTCTCTGTTCGGGTAATCTCGCCAGCAAGTTCAAAGCTAAGTCAGCGACCCATTGAATAAGTTGCTGCAGCGATTGCAGTGTACTCGGTTCTACCGTAAACTCTTTCGGATCGAGATGCAGCAATACCTAGTAAAAACATTAAATAAATCAATAATTAATTTCATTTCAGGTAATTATTAAAGTTTCAGTTTATTTTGTTACAGTTAAGCACCTACTATAGTAAAATAATTGAAAGGGAATTGTTACAAAAGACCTTTTAGGTCGGGATGACTAGGGGCTTTGTAGCCTACTTTCCTCTTGGTACTAACTAATTAACACTCAACTTTCACTCTATGCATCAAATATTGAAGTGGTAGAAGATTAGGGAAAAATACGGTTTGGAAGTTCAGCTGATAAAAAACTAAGACGTTGGAGGTTCGATTGTAATACCTTGTCAACGTCAGTAATGACGTCAGTTATCACCGCGGCTAAGCTCTCCGCTGGGCCTTTGTCGTGGGATATCAGGTCCGATGGTCTCAGTAAAGATTTGAAGGCGGTAGCTACTGAATGTATCATCAGCAACGATGACAAATCCGCCGCTTTGTTCTGACCTGTCATGAGCATCCTGAAAATGATTGCAATTATTTAATCTTTCTGATTTACAATTTCAGATAATCTTCTTTTTCACAACTTTAAAAGAGATCTTCAAAGACAATTCTTAAGCGCCGTGGAGACAATTTTTATTTTTTTATTTTTAAAGCAAATTGAGAAACTAATTTAGAAGAAAATTTATTTATTTTAGAAACATCTCTTCGTATATGTGCGTGCGTAGTAACATACCTATACAATGACGTTTTGATGCATAAAAATTGGATATAATGATATTGCTGTGTAGATTGCAGCTGCCTATTGAAGGAGACGTCTAGTCGCTCGCACAATGCTTCAATCATGGACGATCTCAGGCATAAAAGTATGTCCAACCAATCTAATCCCGTCACCAAACAATACTCCAGTAATGTACAGGCGTAGCTTAGGGACATCGATGTACCTGATCACGTAAATTATTTCGATCATATTTGGCAATTCCTCAGAAATATCTTGTAACTGAGAGGCACTAATAAATTAATTTTTAAATATAAAAAAAATTTGGCATTATACCTGTGGTGCCGTCCGGCAACAATTTATAGAGATACAGATTGCCGCGAGTATCGGACGCAAGAAGTACACATCCCAACCACGAGAGATCCATATGGGTGATAGATACGGAGCTCTTGAAGTATTTGTTGCTAGGTTCGTCTGGACGCCAGCTTGTATTCAAGGACGAGAATGCCACTTCCTTCAAACAGTCCAAACGATTTAAGCAATGCACCGACGAGTCTGCTAGTGCTATTATTACGTAACTCGGAGGCGGTAAAGTTGTTACTATGGATAGTTTTGTAGTCGCTATCGCCGTGACCGGTGACTGGCAGCGATACTGCGATTGATATTGCCAAACCTGCCAAAAAGTAGCCACAAATCTCTATTAAATATCGAATGTGTTATATTTATACTACTATTAAATGCTATTTAAATACTACAGTCAAATACAGTATCTTGCTGTTTCATTACTTGACATCTGTCATTTGATTCACGTATTTGCTTGTAAAGAATAAAAATGGTAGTTGACCGTAATTGAATACTTACAACCGTCTTAAAAGGTTCTAAAGTCTTTGGCTGAAACAATTTGTGAACCGGTTGCGACTTCTCCCGCAGCTCCCACACCTCAACGAATCCGCCGCTCTCGCTGTTCGCCGCAATGACCAGAGAATCGGCATCTTCTCTGACTACAAATTTTAAGTGCGTCACGACTGTACCTGCGAAGAAAATAATAATTTGTAGTCATAAAACAAAATAAACTGTTTACGATATCATAATTTCACTAATTAATCTTACATGAATTGTCCTTGGGCGCTCCGTCCTGCAGAAAGAAGCTCGGTAAAGCTTGCGAGGTGATGGTGCACTTGTCGTCGTTCTTGCGCACCAGTACTCTAAAGCACCTTATGGGCAAGCAGATGCTACCGCTACTAACCGCGACGAGAAAGTGGCCGTCTGAAATTTACCAAGCAAATTATTGCGGCATTCTCATTTCTGTTATTTTCTGTATTCGCGCAAAGCGCTTTATACATAACAAAGAGTACTTTTTCCATAACACAAATCCACCGCGGTTATCCTGTGCCTCGTGTTGCCGAGACTCTCCGTCGAGTAGCAAATCGGATTTTGAAGGTCCTTGGTGATCATAATCGCGCCAACCATGCCCGTTGTCGACACCACTAGCACGCCTTCGGCGGCCCTTCCGCCGAATTGCCTCACGGAGGGTGCAAACAGCAGATGATTAAATTTTTCGCTATAATAAATGCTGTCTTTCTTTTCTGTTACCAGCCCCGTCTGCAGAAGTACCAAAAGAAGACGTTAGAAGGAGAGTATAAGAGTAACAGTTTTATATATCTGCGCAATTTAAAAACATTTCTTTAAAAACATTTTTAATGCAAAATAATAACAATATCAATGGTCTTTGATACAATTCCCATTCTTGTGACATTACTAGTAAAAAAACTTTATTGTCCAGTGTATGAATTCGTTTGTCTAGATACCTTTTTGCCATTATGGAACCATGCCGCGCCTAATATGTGCTCGCCAGGGAAGTATGTGGAACCAATTAATACCCAATCGTTTAAAATATGGTCCTTAAACATCCACAGCTGTACATTTCCAGCCGTATCTGCCATTACCAACTTATCACCAGGCAGATCCCATTCTAATGCAGTAATATTGTGTTTGTTCGAGAGTACTCTAAAGATACACAAAAACATGTTATCTCGACTTCTTGGCTTTGTCAAAAAAATTTGATAAAAGCATTGTTGGATGGTAAGAGACATAAATGTAATATCCTTCGAGGGGTATTATAGAGGCTGCGGTCCACTTGACGCTACAAATGCTTTGGAGCGTTCTTCTTCTCCTTCTTTCTTCATTGAAAGAAAAGAGAAGAGGAATGCTTCGAAGCATTTGTAGCGTCAAGTGGACCGCAGCTAGAGACGATAATTTAAAAGATCTAATCGAAATGAGCTTACTTATGAGCGTGCCACGGCATATTCAAGTCCGCTACATAAACATGACAACCTCGCGTCTTGCCGCTGTTGTCGTCCAATTCTGTCATTGTAGTAAAAGCCACTATATTCCGACTGGATAAGGAACACAACGATTGTCCGTTGTACAAACTGAGAAAACAAATTGTTGGTTAACATCCAATTTACATGTTGAAATACATGTTCCGTTCATATCTCGGAGTATTAAATGCCGCAAGAAGAACACTTTGTTTACATATTAAGGAAATACGCACCATTCTTGAGTGGGGAAAAATTTGGAGGAACTCCTTCTGTTAACGGTATACAGCAGATCCATCTTTCCTCGTTTTCCTCTCCTCAATACACAAAAATACAACGGTACGCTTAATTTTTTCCAAATTAATGAGGACGTTCCTGAATGCTTTCTTCAATTAATCCTCATGAATGATAACTCTTGGTGCGCTCCTCTCTGTCGAAATACATTATTCCCCTCGCAAATAATCACGATATTCCTTTTCCAAAAAATAAGATGGGAAATCCCTCCTGTTGGATATTCTCACTAAAAACGTGGCGAATCCTAGCGGACCTGCGCTTCTGTTATTTTCGTAATCTTCTTCTTAAGATCTATCTCTCTACAGTGAGAATCTTCTTTGTATTGTTAAACACCGGCAGCCGTATCATAAATCGAAAATTAATCTCGTAAACAATCGTGGAGGTTCAACAGGGTGATCAAAACTGATGGACCAACTTGAGATCTCGGAGACCTCATGCGGCAAAAGCGCGAAACTTGGAAACATCTGTTCTGTCTGTTCTTTTTCGAAGCACTTTCTGAACTAGTGCAACTTATTGCACTGGTGTGCACCAGTGCAAGAAGTTCTTCGAAAAAGAACAAACCTTTTTTCTCTTTGGAGCAAAAGGGCAAGAAAAAAGACGAATATCCGATACGAGATTTTCATCAAATTGTATTCCAATTTTGTGATTTCGTACATGATTGAGGCCGACTCGAAAGTAGCCTCAACATAAAGTGTAGATAAGGCACACGAAGATCTCTCACGAGGATACAATTTTAATTTCGAATCCCTGCAATGTTGGGCAACGTAGCAAAAAACAGTCTCTTACTGCGCGGTAAGAGTGTACTGCTTAAAAGGTAATTAAAAGTCAAATTAAAATCTTTAATCAAAATTTTCGTTGAATTCTTTATTGCTGAAATATATTCCAAATATGCGACTCACGTTACGTCTACAAAGCAGTTTTCAGTCCAAAACTTATATCACAAATCAACAATGATGTTTTAAAGCCAATCGTGAAACGTGGAAATTAAAGTCTATTATTAAACAATTTAATGCAACGATTTGTTAAGAAGATTCATTTCTTGCAGGTACAACGCACCACAGGTAGCATATAGTGTCAGAAGTAAATGGGACACGGTGTCTTCTAAGTATCAGAGCACAGCATTGGAAAGCGAGGATGACGGTGCCGATCGGCCCATAAAATATTCCACGTCGAAAGCCGCTACCATGAGAATCGACGAGTATCGCGATCCGATAGGAGATAAATATCCGTGGTATCAGGGAATGGTTATTTCGACGAGTATAGCTGTATTCCTAGTTTATTTCTGTATCCTGAGAGAGGAAAACGATATTGATATGTTACTCGATACCGATTTGGGAGAATCGCTGAGCAAAATGCAGAAGGAATTAGAAGAGAAACAGAATGTTAAAGTTAAATTGAAGTAGGACATCTCTGTTTATCCGAAATGCTACCTCACGGGCTGTTTCGTAAAATTCTGTTATGCAATACATTGTTTTGTTATGTAAAATGTTCATGCTTTTCATAAGTATACGTTAGCAGACGCTTAATTCAGTTCACAGTAATATTTATACTAAATGTATACTGTACAGAGTGCTAGGAAAGAGATTTGTTAAGAGAAATGTCTTGGTGTAAATAAAAGATGTCTTTTATTGTAAACGAAAAATATAGATGTTTAACATAGATTTTTATAACGGATATAATAAATGGCCCCATATAACGTTATTCAATATTGTGCCCCACTCGATGGACGGATGGCAAACGATCGTATCTGGGATGCACTTTTTCCACGTGAGCCTCCATGGCGCGACAACCATGGTCATAGACAGAACTGTTAGTCCTTCGGTGCAGCAAGGATGCAGTCTGATGTCAACGATGCCTGTGGGGAAATTAGGAAATTATTTGCGATATTAAACTGCTTGTTATCGAGCAACGGAAAGTTGCTACATTCCTTTCTTTCGAGATGCGACACGTTACGCTACTTACTGCAAGTGCTGTAAGATCGTAGCAGCCACTTCCAAAAGGTGTAAACGGGCATAACTTGCAGATAAAACTTCAGTCTGGTCAGAAAACCACCGAATGCGATTGATACCAATCTGAGCTGCAATCAAAACTACAGATTATTCCGCGATTATCTCAAAAAGAATCTGAAAAGTCTTGAAAACAAAATATACGTCATCCCACCATGGTAAATACGGTATAGTACACCCACGTTGTGGGCATCAGGAACAGGAGAATGGTGAATGACAGTGTCCCGACGAACAGTTCGTCCGTTTGATACTGACAGGAGTCCACTCTCTCGCGCAAGGGATTCTTCTTCTTCCCGAGGAACAGTCTAAAGAGGGCCGTGATCCCTCTCAGCTGAATATTGAAGAGCCTGATGATCGATTACGAGCTTTTAAAATTATTTCAGATAAGAAATCGACAGTTTTATTAAATCGTTTTTGCGACGGGACGTGAAAAGATATATTACACCTTGCTGCATAAACGTAGATGCAGTACGTGTGGAAGCTAACGAGAGCCAAAAGATCCGCAACGATGGATATTTGAAACGTGATGCCCAGTCTTCCGAACAAGAGCAGTACTTGGAACGCGAGATCCAGAAGCGGCTTCAAAAATATTAAAAATGTCCACCAGAGCTGTATGTGATACAGGAAGAACTTTCCCATAGTATTGTTCAGAGCATGGTTGAGCTTCAGGCCAGCTGGTACACCCATCAACCAGTCAATCAGGTCCCTCAGAGTCTCCACAACTTTCTGTTAAATAGAAATTCCAATTGCTAAAGTTAATAGAAATAGATAGACGTGTATCGCAGGTATTTATAATATTTAATTTTGTATAATACGAACAATCAAGCCTTTTATTTTCTTCTTTTTTAAAGTTATCTCAGGTTTGAAATAAAATCTATTAAATCACTAAAATTAAGTCCATCAAACTTTTGTTATAACATGGATTATTTTGTTCACGTACGTGCCATATATATATCTAAACTTGCCTCCGCATTGTTTAGCAGAAGCTGCGACGGCTGATCCTCGATATAATATTGCAACAATCGCAGTACAAAGATTCCTAGCGCCATATCCATCACAATTGCCAGCGCGTAATTTCCCGTTTTCAGTTTAAAGTTCCCGTCCCGTACGACCGTCGCTAGCATCCACTTGACATTCTCCAGCCAGTCGTAGACGTGCAAGCCGAGGTAGGAGTACTTCAATACCGGCAATAGTCTCTCCGTCACCTTGGACAGTAACAAGACGGGATATAAGTAGAGGGACATATGACAGGTCAACAAGGTCTCCCAGGTGCGAACAAATCTGGATTTGATCCTCAGCTCATCCTTCTTGTCTTGTATCAGCCTCGCGAGTTCGTGAAAGTGATCGCCCGACGCTGTCTCGCTCACGAACAATTCTGTCTCCCGCAACACCTGCTGATTGTACAGAACGAGGATCGTGCGCATCGCTGACAGATCCATCTTCTTATTGTTAAGAACGACATTCAGCAGACGATACTCGTTGTCGCGCCCGTCCTTGGACGGCTTCGTCCCGATGTGCACCCAATTGTGCTTACGTTCCGAAGGTTCCTCGATCGCGTCGTTCCCACTGGAATAATAACCGATGACGCCTAACGTAGACTTGGTGGTTAGCTCTACCGAGGCGACCCTACGCAAGCTGACGACGTAGAACTTTTTCAGGTCGCCGCGGGCATCGTGTATCACCTTGCCAAGTATATAACCGGACCGTTCGGCGCACAGGGTTTGAGGAATGAATATTAGTAAATTGTTCGTCATTTTTTTACCGTCGAAGATCACGTATCCGCGTTACCTGAACCTCCTGTCTTCTTCCTCTTACTATTTCCATTTTACAAGCGCAATGTTTCTTTATTTATTCAGTCGCTTTGAGATACCGTTTTCCACTCTGCTTTCTATAATTATA